ATACAGTCTGAAGCAACTCACCTTTCATCACCAGCACAGAAGGTGTCTGGGCCAGTGGATCAGCCAAGGAGTTGAGAGGGACACTGTCTTGAAGCCAGATCACCAGGACCGGTTCTGGGGGTCCTTGAGCATTGCAACTGAGGTTGAAAGGGGTATTGGCGGTGATCTCCAGATCCTGAGGCTCATCTGTGAAAAAGGGAAGACCTGGACCCAAAAAAAAAAAATGCAAGGAGGGACAAACTCAGCAAACAAATACAATCAACCTCCAGTCTAGAGCACAGGTAGAAAAAGGGAGACATATCATCATCATCATCATCATCATCATTTTATAGTTTGCCTTTCTCTGGGACTCAAGGCAGCTTCCAAATTAAAATTAGTACCATATAGTTCAAAGTATACAAAAGGCAACATTAAAATTGCATTCAACTGTTAACAATATTGAAACAATTGAAATCATTTTTAACAATTAACTTTTAAATTTAATCCAGTCTGGAGTGAAGGTGGAGAAAGGGAAACATATCATCATCATCATCATCATCAATTTATAGCTTGCCTTTCTCCCAGACTGGGACACGAGGCAGCTTCCAAATTAAAAGTAGTAGTATATAGTTCAAAATCTACAAAAGGCAATATTAAAATCGCATTCAACTGTGAACCGTATTTAACTGTTTAAAAACCTTTTTGAAAATTCATTTTGAAATTTAATCCAATTTAATTTAAAAATCAGAAAAAGAGTTAAAGACAGTAGAATTTAAAACAATGTTGCTGTTGGCAAGGCTTCCAGGTCAGTAAGTAATGGCTATCAAATGGCTCTACTTTTCCTGATGTTCATACAAGATTTAGAGATAGGTTTATGGTGGACAGCTATAAGTGAAAGAAATTACTTCCAGCATAGTTGGCAACCATAAATAAGAAACAGGAGTGGATTGTGACCTGGGTATCACTATGTCAGCATTGAAATGCTTCACCCTAGCCTGGTCTAGAAAAGTGGAAGGATGTAGAATTATGCAGAAATGTTGGTTCAATGTGTTAAACCTGATCAATTGTATCTCCGGTATAGTCCCTACTTTTGAAGCAACCAATACTTGGCAGCATTTTGATTCTGGCATAGCGATACCCAGGTCACAATCCCCTCCTCTTTCTTATTTATGGTTGCTAACTATGCTGGAGGTAGCTTTAAAACCTAATTGTTCTGACCCACCTTTAATTCTTCAGAGGCTCAGCAAAGCATGGGATTCTGTCACTAGCAGGAAGATTAAGCACCGCATTAAAAGTTTGGCTAGGAAAAGCAAACCAAAGGCTTTTCTTTCTTACCTGAGGACTGTTCTTGCAGTAGGCCAGCGATCTTGATAGATCAGTATCACAGCTCAAAAATTACAAGTATGTACACATATGTATGTAAAGCATTTGATCGGTCAGGCTGATTGGAAAGGATCATCCAGTGGGTTGAAACTAGAAAACCCACTGTGAGATCCTGGCTGCAAATACTTTATTTGTTAATGTCTCATTTAGTTATGCTACTTGATTTTAAGAGCCAAAGGGTGCCTTAAACAGAGCTTGGAAAGATTACATCTTTGAACTGCCACTCGCAGATATTCTCAAGTCAGTACGGCCACTGACACTACATCTCATTTTTGTGGATGGATTGTGTATGTGCATTGTGTGCCTTCAAGTCCTTTCTGACTTATGGTGACCCTATCATGGGGTTTCTTTAGCACGATTTTTCAAAGGAGGTTTGTCATATTCTTCCCCTGAGGCTGAGAGTGTGTGACTTACCCAAGGGCACCCGTGGCTAAGCTAGGAATCAAATCCTGGTCTCCAGAGTTGTAGCCCAACACTCAAAACCATTATTATTATTATTATTATTATTATTATTATTATTATTATTATTATTATTATTATTTGTACCTGCCCCTCTGCATAGCAATCGGGGCGGCTTCCAGCACAAAATGCAATACAGTAAAAATTAAACCCAAACCCAAACCTCCCGCCCTCATGGCTGCATTAGGAGATTAATATCTGCCACATCAAAGTAGTGGAGTCAAGTTTTATAGAGTCATAGCCCCAAAGCTTAATGCTTATCAATAACTATGCCATTACCTGTAAATTCTCCATACCTTGGGTCCTGGCGTATCTGCTGATTTT